GCTGCACCACTAATATACACGCATGTACGAACGCTTTCCTCAGGGTGCATCAAAGCACAAAATCATCCACAGCATTTCATAAAATCCCCTCCACATTAATTTTTTCAAAGCAACGCCGTCATCCTTACCAGCAGGGCGTCGAAGGTGAGCTGGACGTTGTTGGTCTGTCTGAGGTCGATGTAGTTCATCAGCAGCGACCGCGTGTCCAGCTGCATGAAGACAGCCAGCAGCTGCACACAAGGAGAAGCATCTATTCAATTTAAAGGGAAACTGGACTGACCGTTAATCGTGTTCACAGAAGGAAAGCACTACAGCAAGCAGGAAACTTTGTTGTTAAAATTATTAGCATTCACCAAACAGTTTCAGATTCGCACGCCTACCTCCTGGTAATCTCCGAGCGGGGTCAGATACTGCAGGATGAGCCGCTGCTCCATGGCCGGGCTCAGCGGTGAAAGGCAGAAGTCGGTGCCGATCATCACGGAGCTCATCTCAGACCATGAGGAGGTGCTGGCCGGCTGTTCGCTGGCCTCGGTCCTCTCTGCGTCCTCTCCACTCCTGTCCGAAGAGTTGGCAAAGTTCAGTTTCTGCTTTGCCTTCCTCCCGTTCTCCTTTATAGCCCGTTTCTTCCCTCCTCCTCCACCTCTTCCTCCCTGCATGTCCTCCGTCTCCCTGGACGCAGAGTCCGGAGCGACTTGGTAAACGAAGCCCGGCAGCAGTCGGGCGGAGCTGCTGCTGCGGCCGCCGTTCTTCTGAGCTGAGCCGAGCAGAGACGTGGGTTTGGTGTTGGACGTGGTCCTGCTGCTCTCCCCGGCTCTTTCATTTCTCGCCTCTTCCTCCATCTCCATCGTGTCTTGCTGGGAAGTTGTGACGCTTGAGGTTTGTGCAGTTTCAGCCTGAGAGTCCTGAGGTAGATTCTCTGAGGTGTGGGTGGCACTAAAGTGACTCGTGGCCTGTTGAGACTGCAGCTCGTGCAGCCGCTTGATCATAACCGGCACCTGGAGGATGAGGAAACTCAGATTTTATGACGCTGATGCAAAAACTCTCAAAATCAAGCACAAAGACTGTATATAAAAGATTACAGCCATTACAGACTTCCTGCTTTATGACGGTGAAACAGACTTTTAACCCCAGGATGCTGCACACTCGATGCACTAATAACATGTTTGCTGCTTGTCTATGCATGCAGCACATTAACAAAACTAACTAGCATTAGCTGATAACGCAGCACGCCGTCCTCTCATCCAAACATCGTCACTTCCAAACTACAAAATGCTAAAAGGGAATCTAGAACCCTGTGGATCATGTCACAACAGTCTTTAATTACTGCCACCCACCAGCTGAGCGTTCTCTTCTCTGTAGTTGGCCGCCACTTCCTGGTTGCTCATGGCTCGGGCCAGCAAACCCGTGGCGTAGACACACAGCGGGCGCTCTGCTTCACGAGCCCAGCCGAACAACCTTTCAGCCAGACCCTCCTGCACAGAGAGCACAGGTGAGCAAAGAACAGGAACAGCCTATCAGAAACCAGCGCTGCTCACAGGAGTCGGAAACCTTTTAATAAATGTCTCTGTGATAATTACTCAAATTAATTATTCCCATGTTTCCTACAGAACAACCATCACTTCCTCTTTAATCTACGCAGCAAAAACTTTTTCTAATGCATCATCATGAAAAGAAATGCACATCAGTTTTGATATGCACATCCATATACTGTCATTTATTAGAACTGTATAAACTAACAAATCCTCTAACTCCACATGGACCACTCCAAACATGTGACCCATCATAGTAAAATATTTTTAGGACACTTTATAGACGTATCAATATTTTTCTTTTGAACACACACACACCAGCTCTATAATCTAACAGCGATTTATGTATAAATAAATAATGTTTACCTTCTCTTGGAAGACGACGGCCGTCTCCAGGCCCGGGCAAATGTTCTGAAGCAGGCGGCAGGCTGCTGTGTTGAGGCTGTGTTCCCTGCTGGTCATTATGTACGTGTCCAGCAGCTGCGAAACA